GATATAGGTGTTGGGTGGTGAGGATCTTTCAGATAATGGCAATGCTACTATTACTGGGCATGTGGTGCCCAATTGTTTTGGTTCCTGAGGACCCTTTAGTCCCTCTTATTATCATTTTTTATTTAGAAAAGGTTATTAGTGATAATGGTATTGAGGCAGGGATGGATTTAGCTGAACCTGTTCTTATCAATTCTTTTAATCATTGTGTTTTTCCTCTTTGAGGCTTCTCCCATGATAGTGGAGGATGAGGGTATTGTTAATGAGGAGGTTAATCACTTGGCTATTATTCCTATTGATGCTTTTCATTCACTTGCTTCTCCTGTTGGTAGTGATAAGAAAATTTTTCATTTGAACACAGTGGTTTTAAATGAATCTTCTAGTGGAATTAATGTTGAATCTCCCTTTTTTTTTCTTCGTAACTTTCTTTGTCTCCGAATATGCGACAGGATGGGATTGTACCATTGGTTGATGTTTCAGATTCTCTTATTATTAATAATGAATTAAAAGCTCAATTGTTGTTTAATATGAAGGATAGCTATTTGAGCCACTCTAATTGGCTGGACATATCTACCTCCTCGCCTTGCAGAGGTGTTGGGAAAATATTGATGGTTTGATGGATAAGTTTCTTGCATTATATAGCCTGAAGGTTTGTCAAATTATGGATAATACTTCCTCTAGTGGAAGTGGTAAATAGGTCAAAAGAAAATCTAAACAAAAGTAATTATGGTGTTCTGTTGTTGCTATGGATCCCAGTTATGTTGTTGTTGTTATTTTTGGGTTTTGAATGGTGGCCTTGTGATTTTCGATTGTTTGGTCGGTATTTGGGTTTTTTTATGGTGTGGCTTTTGGTTGGTTTTGGCATGTTGGCGTTGTTGTGGCATTTGAGTTGTTTTTTCAGTTGGGATGTTCTTGATGGTGTCAATGTTATAGGTGTTAGCTAGTTGGATTTGTTGGTTGTTACTTAGCTAGTTGGTTTTTAAGGGTCAAAAAATGATGAGACTAGTTTCCTGCACACCCTCCTAAATGGCGTTGGCTTGTTTTGGCAACCTTAGAGGTTGTTTCATATGCTCGATCAATGGTGACATTTGTTTGGATTTTGGGACTTCTTGTCGCTGCATTCTCTGCCTCCAATGGATGGTTCAGGAGTGTAATCTGGATGGTATTCTGAGTCTGATTGGCTTCAGGGTCTTTATTTGCTCTATTTTTGGCTTGTTTTTCATTTTTTCATTGCTTTGCAATCTATCGCTTATTGTGGTATTTTAAACTTTGTATTTTCATGTTTTGGCCGGATTGTAAGTCCCTCTTAATCTTTGGAATAAAATAATGATTAGTAGTAAAAAAATGAAGGCTATTTTCCTACATACTCACTCAGTTGTTCTCACCATTTTATGTTTCATTTAGTTACAAAGTTTTATATTGACATATTTTATTTTCATATGGCATAAAACTTTGATACAAATATATTGTTGGGATCATCAAAATATAATAGAGGATAAATTACATATTCAAGGATGTTGGCAACTCACAAAATTATGATGGAGAAGGAATAGAATAATAGAGAATGAGAATTACTTCATTTCATTTATTTGATTTGATGCTCAAACACTCCCTAATGAAGGTTTTCATAGAATTATAAATATACTAAAAAACATTCACTTATTAACAATCAAATAAGTCTTAATTACCTATTGATTTTCATGATCCATAACTATCCTAAACCATCATTACAATCATTATTAACCCTAAACCCAAAGTTTTAATATCTAATTCTGACCTATATCTTGGTTAGTAATCTACAATGGGGGTATGTTTTCTTATATATTATTTATTTATCTTTTAAATATAAAACTTGTTGCGTCCTAGAATATTTGCGACGGTAGAGAAATATATTATTTATTTTCTTAGCGTTGTACAAAAATCTAGCACATAAGTAGATAAGATAAAGAGTGTAGCATTTATAAGAGACACCATAGTTTTTATATGAAAATCCCTGAAAATGGGGAAAAACTATGGGGCCTGGCCCAATTTGAATGAATCCATTAGTATTTGAAGTTAATTACAAATAAGGCCCTTCCTTGGGAGAGGGCTTTGGCTTGATGTCATAAATGTACATCGTATAGAGCACATTACATGGTGGTAGTTACAGTAATCAATGTAGACATATTTGTTTGGTCGGTAGGGCCATAGTTGATAGGATAGAGGTCAGAAAGACTGTATAAGGCGATGGAGGTCATAAAGACCATTGTCTGGCGATGGAGGTCGGAAGGATCGTAGTAGGCAATGGAGGTCAGAAGGATTATATTTGGCAAGAGATAGGGGTTTGAAAGACCATAGTTAGTAGGAGATCGGGGTCAGAAGGACCGTTGTAGTAGAGCGGTACTTCGGTAGAACTCCAGGCATCAAGCGGTGGTCCGACAGAAGCTCGGACCTTAGGTGGTTCGGTAGAAGTCCATGCCTCATGTGGTGGTCCGACAAAAGTTCGTAAATCATGTGGTGGTCCAAAAGAATTCTGGGCATCAGGTGGTGATTCGTTAGAAGTTTGGACCTCAGGTGGTGGTCAGATAGAAGTTCAAGGGTAAGGTGGAAGTTCGGGCCTCATGTGGTGGTCCAATAGAAGTTCGGGCGTCAGGTGGTAGTCCAGGAGAAGTTCAAGTATCAGGTGGTGGTTCGGCAGAAGTCTGTGCCTCAAGTGGTGGTCCGGTAGAAGTTTGAGTATCACGTGGTGGTCTAGGAGAAGTCTAGGCCTCAGGTGGTGGTCCGACAGAAGTTTGGGCATCACGTGGTGGTCAGGAGAAGTTAGGGCATCACGTGGTGGTCCGATAGAAGTCCGGGCGTCAGGTGGTGGTCTGGGAGAAGTTCGGGCCTCAGGTGGTGGTCCAGTAAAATTTCTGGCATCATGTGGTAGTCAGGGAGAAGTCCAGACGTCAAGTGGTGGTCCGGCAGAAGTCCAAGCCTCAAGTGCTGGTTCAGTAGAAGTCCGGGCATCACGTGGTGGTCTTGGAGAAGTTTGGGCAATAGGTAGTGGTTTGGCAGAACCCATGGCCTCAAGTGGTGGTTCGGTGGAGCTCAGGGCCTCAAGTGGTGGTCCGGTGGAGCTCAGGATCTCAAGTGGTGGTCTAGTAGAGCTCAGGGCCTCAAGTGGTGGTCTAGTATAACTCAGGGCCTCAAGTGGTGGTTTGGCAGAGGTGAGGGCCTCAAGTGGTGGTCCGGTGGAGCTCATGGCCTCAAGTGGAGGTCAAGACCTCAAGTGGTGGTTCAACGGAGCTCAGTGCCTCAAGTGGTGGTCCGACAGAGGTGAGGGCCTCAAGTGGTGGTCCGCCGGAGCAACGACGTCAGGCGGTGGTCCTGTAGAACTCAGGCGATGGTCAAGGAGGATCAGGGAGGAAAGAGCGATCTCTGATCTCTCTCTTGCTCTTTTGCTTGGAGCCTCCCCTTTCAAGAAGGAGGAGGGGTCTATTAATAGATTTTATGAGTGGCATGCTCATAAATAAGTGGGATATCAAAGGCATATGGGGAGTGGCTTGGATGGACGATCGATATTGAATCCCTTGATCATGGACCGTTTGATGGACATTTGAATGTCTTAGTGATGTCAAAATTCAGTGATCTTGGGCTCGTTGGATTAGTCCCGTCGAGCCACTCGATTCCACTATAAGCACGTCATGTTTGGAAACTGTTTGGAATTCCAAATTGTGGTTCGAACCTTCCAACAGCGCTTCAGACCCTTGATTGGATCCATTTGAACTCGGATTGAGTCGATTTTGGTGTCGTTGGGTTCGTATTTCTGAAACGTTTAGTTCGACTATAAGTTTGCTAAAATCGGAGTTCGGAGTGATCCCAATTTTAATTTTGGAAGTTTCCAACTTGATTTTGCCTCGAGATTCCTGGCCGATGAAGATAATTTTTCGAGGAAGTATCAAAACTTTTACAAATACTTATGAAATGTGGGTAGAAGAGGTAGGAGATGTGAGGAAAAGGAATACTATTATTAGCACCATGGGGAGATTTCTTCTAATTACATAGCATCAGAGATTTGTGGCAATTGGAAAAACTATAGCACCATTGACTAATATGGGCAGCAACAAGGGAGTATGAAACAGTTTAAGCCATTTAATTTTAAAATATTGTAATATTTTGGATTTTTTTAATTTTATTTTAGTTCATTTTATTTAATCTTAGGATTATTTTTTTTAAATAAATATAAGATGATATCATTTATTTTAAATAAATTTTTAAAAAGGTAAATTCTAATTATAATTTTAATAAGAACAAATTGGATCTTTTTAAATATATTTTAAGAAAAATATAATGTATAAAAAATATTTTTACACTCATTTTGAAAGAAATTTAAAATTTTGATATTTATTTTTCTCTTATTATGAGTATTTGCTAAAAAAAGAAAAAAAAAATTCATGCCTAGGTCAATGGCCCATTTAACGAGCGACTTGCTTGCCATAGCAATAGCTAATCGCCCTTTAACCGGTAACTAATTGTCTATGCCTATTTTAAAATTTTATTTATAATATACTATTTTAAATAATTAAATTATCTCGACTTAAATTAAAATTAGTGGTACAACAAATATCTAAAAATTTATACTAATCTTAGTATAAATTCAAGTACATTCATTTCAGTTCTTATGACAAAATTCCTCAAAATTGAAGGGATAAAAATTTTCAATTAACTTAGGCTTTATTTGGGATTGAAATGATCTGCAAAATAGACGTCAAAGAAAAATAGAGGAATGAGAAGAAGTTATGTTTGAAGGTTTCATGTATTCCCCCTTTGAGATTGATTTATGTATACATTGGTATATATCAAAGAGAAGGGAACAAGGTTGTTAGAATTTCAGATGTTGCAGATGCACAGACGCGGCGAAGGCAGTGGCCACTTTCTATAATGATTCACTGTGGAGGAAAGTGGAGCAGTAGCCGAATATAAGCAGGTGTGCTTGTATAAGTTGAATGGCTTATATGTTCTGTTAACAGCCCCCCGCAAACTTATGGTTCAAGTGGTTGAATAGTAAGTTTGTCTCTGAGCATTTTTAAGCGAGCGAGACCTAATGGTTTGGTGAGTATGTCTGCAGGTTGATCCACTGAGTTTATGTGATGTACAGTGATCTCTTTAGATAGAATACGCTCTCTGATGAAATGATAATCAGTTTCAATGTGCTTCATTCTGGCATGAAAAACAGGATTATTTGCGAGTGTCAAGGCTGATGTATTGTCGCATAAGAGAGTTGTGGGAGTTGATGATGCTGCTTCAAAATCAGTGAGTAAGCGACGAAGCCATATGACATCAGATGTTGTAGAAGCGAGGGCTCTATATTCAGCTTCGGTGGACGATTTAGCAACTGTAGCTTGTTTCTTTACACACCAAGAGACTAAAGTGTCGCCCATATAAGTGCAGAATCCTGAGATGGATTTTCTGTCATTGGAATCTGATGCCCAGTCAGAGTCGGAGAAAGAAGTGAGTTGAAGATTTCCTCTTGTGATTGGCAATCCGAACTGATAGGTGCCCCGAATATAACGTAGTAGCCTTTTAAGAGCGGTAAAATCTTGCTCAGTTGGATTGTGCATATGTTGGCAAATCATGTTAGTAGCATATGCAATATCCGGCCTTGTTATAGTTAGATACTGCAATGATCCAGCTATTTGCCCGTATAGTTTTGAGTCGGAGTTGAGGAAATTGTTGTTGTTGGATGATGGCTTAAGAGCAATAGGTGTTTGAGAGGGTTTACAATCCTTCAAACCTGCTGATTGTAAGATGTCTTGGGTGTACTGTGCTTGATGCAAGAAGTATCCAGTAGGTTTGTGGAGTACCTGAATTCCCAAGAAAAAGGAGATGGTGCCGAGTTCCTTTAAAGAGAACTGGAGTTGTAGCTTGCTGATGAGTGCATAAATGTTGTCTCTGTTGTTGCCGGATATTAAGAGGTCATCCACATACATGAGTATGTAGATTTGAGTGCTGCCTTGTTTGTAGAATAGTAGAGAGGGGTCTGACTTGCTGAAGCTGAATCCGAGGGATTGAAGGAAACCGGTAAATGTATGAAACCATTGTCTAGGTGCTTGTTTAAGCCCATAGATGGTTTTGTTCAACTTGCATACGTAATTGGGGCGATGATTATCTATGTAGCCTTTGGGTTACTTCATATATACTTCTTCTTGTAATCTGCCATGTAGAAAAGCATTTGAAACATCGAGCTGGAGAACTGGCCAACCTCGATGAAGTGCAACAGTAACCATGATGCGAATAGTAGGAATTTTGGCAACGGGCTGAACGTCTCTTTGTAATCGATGTCATACTCTTGTTTAAAGCCTTGTGCTACAAGTCGTGCCTTATGTCGATCAAGAGTGCCATCAGGTTTTAACTTGGTACGAAAGGTCCATCGACAACCAAGAATGTTGCTATTTTTGGGAGGTGGCACAAGTGACCAAGTTCCTTGCCTTTGAAGTGCAGTAAATTCTTCAGACATTGTATTTCTCCAGTGGATAGATTTGATAGCTTGAGTAAAGCATGTGGGAGTAGATGTGGTTTGATGTGTTGCTAGAAGATCGAACTGCTGTTTTGGTTTTAAGTTCCCAGTTTTGTATCTTGTAAGCATGGGGTGGTGAGGTGGGGTTGAGAAGCTGATGGAGGGAGGAGTTGGAGCTGAGGGTGATGAATCGGATGATGCTTCTGTAGAAGTTGTAGAGGAAAGGGTTGAGGTGCTAAGAGGTAAAGGGGTGTGTGAGGGTATATGTTGTTCTGAAGCTGAAGCAGATGTAGAAACAGAGTTGGGAATTTGGAATATGCTGGGTTTGATTGAGACAGTAGATATGGGAATTAGTGTAAGTGGTGATGAGGATGATGGGATTTGAGAATTTGAGTTTATATTGTCACGGAGTGGATAGGGAAAGATGTCTTCATGAAATACTACATGTCTAGAAATGTGTAGTTTTTCGTTTTGAAGGTTTAGACATATGTATCCTTTGTGGGAGGAGGAGTATCCCACAAAGAGACATGCTGTAGACCTTGGATGAAGTTTGTTGGGAGATAGTGGTTTGAGCCAGGGATAGCATAAGCATCCAAATGTTTTAAGATGAGTATATGAGGGTTGATGATTATAAAGTAAATGATATGGATTGTCGAATTGAAGAGATTTGGATGGAAGTCGATTAATAAGATAATTGGAAGTGTTTAAAGCTTCCATCCAAAGTTTAAGTGGTAGGTGGGCTGCATGAAGAAGAGTGCGAGTTGTTTCAATAAGATGACGGTGTTTTCTTTCCGCTATGCCATTTTGCTCGGGAGTATAAGGACAACTCATTTTATGTTGAATGCCATGTTGAGATAGGAATGTTTTAAAGTTTTTGGATTGATATGCACCACCACCATCTGATCTAAAAGATTTGATGGTGGTGTTGAATTGAGTTTTTATTAGATTAAAAAACTGCTGAAATTTAATGAACATTTCAGCTTTGGTGCTCATGGGGTAAAGCCAAGAAAAATGGGAGTAATCATCTATGAAGAGCACATAATAGTTATAACCATTTAATGAAGAAATGGGTGCAGGACCCCACACATCAGAGTGAATTAGAGCAAACGGAACAGTCATTTTCATAGCATTAGAATTAAAATGTAGTTTGTGGCTTTTGGCCACATTACATGAGTCACATTGAAAAAGTAGAACTATTAGAGATACATATAGTAGAGATATGCCTAGCTAAATGTTGTAGAAGCTGAAGGTGAGGATGTCCCAGCCGAGTGTGCCAAGTGGAAGTAGATTTTTGCTGATTATGGAGAGCTGAAATGGAGTTGGAGGGAATGACGTAGAGACCATCACGACTTCTGCCTCTAAGGATAGTGTGGTTGGTCTGATTGTCCTTTATTGTGAAGCCAAGCGCATCAAAACAAATGGAACAATCGTTATCAGTGGTGAGTTTTTGAATAGATAGGAGGATATGAGTAAGAGATGGGACGTGTAGGAGTTTTTGAAGTAGTAACTTACGTGGTGTGTTGGGGAGAGGTAGTAGACCTTGCCCATTAGATTGAATAGGAAGTGAGGTGCTGTTAGCGATGGAAATACTGTCAGTTCCGGTGTATGGTTGAGAATATTGCAATTGAAGTGGATCGGAGGTGAGGTGTGAAGAGGCACTGGTATCCAGGTACCAATCAGTTGTTGATCCTGTTTGCTGATTAGTGAAGAGGCTGCGTTGCGGAATTGGCATGGTGGGAACGTATTGCAGGTTGGTTCGATGCCAGCATTGCGCAGCTAAGTGGCCCGGCTTGTTACAGATTTGACAAGTAATCCGTGGAGAAGCAGAATTTCTGGGTGGTCGGGAGCCTTGAGTGAATGGCCGTTGTGATGATCCCCTGTTTGCTGAGTATCTGCCACGGTTTGATTTGGGCTACTCAGTTGATACATTACTAGGTGTAGAGTTTCTGAAGGCGTTCAATGCAACTGAGTCTGTAGCAGATGTTGCATCCTTGGAATGATCGTTCTGAATATTAATTTCCACACTGAGTAGTAAGGAATAGAGCTCATCCAGTGGGATGTTGGAGGGAAGTGTATGAATGGTTGTTTTAAAGGCATTGTACGATGAAGGTAAACCATTTAAAATGTGTAAGATTATATCTTCTTGATCCACATTTGATCCCGCTGCTGCAATATTGTCCACCAAAGATTTGACATGAGCTAGATATTGATTTACGGTAAGATCTTTCATGTCAATGCGATGCAACTCGTTCTTGAGTTGAATGACTCTTGAACAATTGGTTGGTTGAAGCCTCTTTTCCAAAGTGTCCCAGATTTCGTGTGTAGTTTGCAGCGTCAATACATAAGGAAGTATATTTGGGGAGATAGTGGAAAACAATGTCGCGGCAAGGTTTTGATCAGTTAGTTGCCATATTTGATAGTTTGGATTCAAACTAATGTTTCCTGATGAATCGGAGATGTGTTTTACCGGACAAACATCAAATCCGGTGAGAAAGCCCTCAAAATCGTTTGCAGAAAAAATTTTAAAGACCTGAAGTTTCCAAATGGCATGATTGTCGTTGTTCAGCTGGATGTTGACGATATGCTTAATATTTGAGATTATGAACTTCAGAGAGACAGGAATGGTAATATCTGTTGTTGCTGTTACAGTAGAGGCGACTTGAGGAGCCGATGAACTTTGGCTGTCTGCCATGGAGGAATATCAGTGGAGATATTAAGCCTGGAGCTATGATACCATGAAATGATCTGCAAAATAGACGTTAGAGAAAAACAGAGGAAGGAGAAGAAGTTTTGTTTGAAGGTTTCATGTATTCCCCCTTTGAGATTGATTCCTGTATACATTGGTATATATCAAAGAGAAGGGAACAAGGTTGTTAGAATTTCAGATGTTGCAGATGCACAGACGCGGCGAAGGCAGTGGCCACTTTCTATAATGATTCACTGTGGAGGTAAGTGGAGCAGTAGCCGAATATAAGCAGGTGTGCTTGTATAAGTTGAATGGCTTATATGTTTTGTTAACAGGGATGACTTTCTTAGTGCTTCTAAAAGTATCTTTTTAGTACAAAATTTTAATTTTGATGCTAAAAAACTACTTTAAGAAACAGTAAAAAAGTCACTCAAATGAGGCTTCATTGGGTATAGTTTTTTATAATTATTAGTTTGCTACTTTCATAAAAAAATTTATATTAAAAAAAATTATTTATAAAATAATAAAAAAAAGTTATCTCAGAGGAAATCTTAATCTATAAAGTTAAATAAAAAGCCAAACATCACTTTTCAGGCTTTTGTTAGTTGATATTTGATATGGTTTCTGTGATGGAATTTGCAGAAAAAGTAAAAAGAAAAAAAACTTCTCATCCATATCTCATAGAATAAGACGGTATATACGTACATATGTCCAGAATTTTAATTAAAGAGAGGGACTGAATTTATTTATTTATTTCTTTTAAATTATTTAATTTTGACGAAAAGATACAAAAAAAAATATTTTTTGACAGCTAAATCTTGAGCCAATATTATTGTATTAGTTTTTATCTCATGATTATTTTCCACCTTATAGGATCATCTAAAATAATAGAAGGGTGGGTGGCTCGTTTTAATTTAATTTATAAAAAATTTTCAATTAATTGTCAAAATTTTGGAATTAAATTTATGCTTCAATATTTAATTTTCTCACAATTAAAAAATGCACGTTAAAGGAAAAAAATTTGCTTGAAGATATCCTAAAGTAAATTGTGTCAAGATGATGATCATATTCATTGAATTTATGCTGAGATTAGTGCAGCTGTATTATCATATGTAATATTAATCTTAGTGCAAATTCAACAATATGAAATGCGGAATGATACAATTTACAATAGGAATTTCGTGCCAATTTTTGCTTCAATTGAGACAAGTTGTTTTTCCTGCTTTCTAAATCAACTTTTTAGTACAATAATTTTTTAAACAGAAGATGAATAGGAAGAGAGCAAGTATATACATAGGAGGAGAAAGTACTGAGAAGAGAAGCGGGTTTTCTAATTTTAAGAAATGACCCATGGTATCAATTGGTAGTGTGTCGAGGTATCCCCGATGTGGCAAGAAGGATGCAGGATGGTGTTATTTAATCACATAATATTATTTCAAATGTGGTCAGTATAGGCACAAAATGATTGATTGCCCATAGAGAGGATAAAGAGAGATGTCAGGATTCAAAATAGATCATTCTAAATAGACATATGAACAACAAATTGCATGATCTAGAATGTTTAGGGAAGACTCTATGAGTAGGACAAATGGCATAAATGTGAGTGGGAGTCAGATGTAGCCACACCATCAGTGATGAAAATACTAAAACAACCAAGGGTGTACAACTTGAGTCAGTAAGAAGTGAGAGATGCTCCAAAGAGGTCCACTAATATAGTTCTTTTTTTTAATGATATTATAAAATTTTATTACTTGTGGTTGAAATGCATTATATAACATACTATATGATTGGTTGATTGACATGCATATATATTTGAGTGAATGATTACATGATTTGATTGATATATTTAATGTGACAAGTGATCATAAATTTGTTTTGTATGTTAGTGATGGGTAGTGAGAAGGAAATAAATTATGCGGCTAGGGGGTGAGGCTTGAGTTGGTGTTTACTTTGAATTGATGTGGAAATATGCTTAGGATTTTTTTTGATATAAAATTTATGAAAGCCCACTTAAATAACCTAAGTATATGTGTTGAATCAAGTATTAAAGTGATAGAGAAGAGTGTCAATCCCGCAAGTATTGTGTTTAATTACAATCAAGTTATCACAATTTACTCTAAATGCACAATTTATCCTACTGGATATATATAAAATGGATATTTTTGCATTTTTTTCATGCAATGAAAACTTGAAAGAAAATTTGATACTAATGGAAATAAAATATTTTGGATTAATGAATGCAAAATAATATAGTTTTCCTAATGAGACCTTATTTTAGATGTGGATCAAAGCATTTGCATCCCTAGATCCCCAT